TTCCCGGTTGTGCTCCGTGCCACGGGGCAGAGTGCTTAAGAGCTCCATCCCTGTGGGTGTCTCCTAGCCCATTGGATGAGGAGGCTGCGGGAGCCCAGGCTGCGGTGGCACACACGGCAGATGTAGCTGTGCCCATCACCAGGGACCACGGCCGGGATGCTGCGAAGCTGGTAGGTGAGGTTAGCATTGGGCAGGATGGAGCTGGTGTTGAGTGCCAGGCCCGGCAGCACCTCCTGGCCATCCCACAGCCAGGCCACGCTGATGGGATGAGGGTAGAAGCCGGTGACACGGCAAACTAGCAGCAGCTGGGCTGAGCTGGGCATGCAGGCGAAGACTGTGGCCTCGGGCTGCTCTGAGGGGTAAAATCAAGGGAGTGGGGGGAGCCCCGGGGGGCAACGCTTGGCCCCAGTGTGTGCAGGGATTTGGGCTGGCCATGCCAGGGTCAGGGTGATCTCACCTTGTCTCTCCAGAGCCTTCTTCCCATAGTGCAGGAACACCTCCTGGACATCAACACAGGTTTCACTGAAGATGACATCCACCAGCTCAGTGAAGGCTGTGTAGCTCTGGAGAAGGGACTTGACGTACCGTGACACGTTGGTGTCTTGACCAAGCTGCCAGGAGCAATTTTCTATGTTGAGGCTGACTAAATCCTGGCCATTGTAGCCCACATGGATGAAGGCCCTGGAGGTCCTGTTGGGGAAGAGCTCGCAGCCTGCTCTGCATTGGATGATGAAGGAGTCTGGAGGGACAGAGAGGAGAGAGAGGTTGGAAGAGGGTCTGGGTCTGCCTTCCTGCAGAAAAGGTCGGCATCTCTTGTGCAGCACCAGCACTGTCAGGTCCTTCCCCACTTCTCAGATAACTGTTCAGAGACTGGACACAGAGAAAACCAGGTACTCACAGGACACACGATTCTGCATGGCAGCTTCATTGATTGTGTGACTGAACTGCACCGAATAGACCTTGACCATCTCCTCATAGGTGTGCCAGTCACTGCGGCGTAGGGCTGGCTGCACCCAGGGCTGGAGGAAGTGGAAGGTCTGGGTGTATTTATTAAGAGAAGCGATCTCAATGTCTTCCAGCAGGCCCAGCCTCTCTGTATTCACAAAGTAGGTGTTTTCAAAGATGCTAGTCTGGAGCAGCCAGAGAGTGAAGGTCCCTGCATGAGACAGGGGTCAACAGGAGGAGATGGGAGTGGGAGGAGAGGGCTGGGGAAAGTGGAGGGGCTGAGGGACAGGTCCTCCCTGAGGCAGCAGGGACCTGTGGGCTCCCCATGAGTTCCCCTCATCCTTGGCAGCCTCAGCTCCCAGCCCCTGCACCCTCTGGGGTGCCGCATCCCTGCCGGGGTGGGAGTGTGGAGCCAGGGGACACGGAGGGGTGAGGAGGCAAGTGGGGAGCAGGAAGGCCCTCGCCCATGGGGTCCCATGGGGGCAGCTGTGGAGGAACCAGGGCTTCCACTTACCCTCCAAGTCTGCCCATGTTCCAGAGAGCAGGAGGAGATGGAGGAGGCAGCAGTGAGGGGGTTGCATGGTGCCAGCAGCAAAGTCCTGAGCATGTAGGAGTGTGTGCAGTGGCAGGAGGAGGATGGAGCTGTAGGAGATGTGGCCACACATTTCTCCTCAGGGTGGCAGTGCCCGGGCATCTCCGGGCGAGTGAAATTGGCCCTGGCAGCCAATGGGGCTGGCTCTGAGGTTTTGAGGAGGGCCCTGGTGTTCCTGCTTGGTGTGGGCTGGGGCATCCTGAATGTGGCTGTGAATGCTGGGGGAATTTGTCTGGGAGCTCCCCGTGGTGCCAGGCTGTGCCCTGGTCCGGTGCCTCTTTGTCACCTCCTGCAGCCAGGCCAGAGGTCGAAGCTGGTCATGTGGCAAAGCTGCAGGAGCTGGGCTGGGTCAGGCATGTGGGCACAGACCGTGGCCATGGATGGGTCTGGGGTGTGACTGTGAGGAGCGCTGGGGATATCTCCAGGCCCCTTTCCACCCC